ACAACAAAAAAAGGAATGGTTCTTCAAATAGTTTTGAGAAGCACTGTTTTCAAACTCCTTGGGTAAGGCTCCTTGGCTAGTGCTGAAATGGAGTTTGGAATGAAATTCAATGGCAGCGGCTGGTTTATAACTTAGCAGAGAAACTCCAAATTCCAACATCTCTTGGAGTGTCTCTACAAACAACACCAGAGAACTCTTACAAGGCTGTCACCCTTGCTAGTGTCCTGAAGGACCACCTCTGTAAAGTGTCTCTGGAGTGCCATAACTGGGCATGGGGGTAGGGGAGATGGCAAACTCGAAAGATCCAGAAAACACCCCTCCTCAATTAATTCTACTCTGAGGCAGGAAACAGGGCAGCCAACGACTGCGGGAGAAAAAGGATGGTGTGAAATGGCTGAGCTGAGGTAAGTCGGCAGTCCAAACACAACGCCCTCCGTTATGTAAGAAACCACAGCGGCGTGCTGGCTGCCAAGGCCAAATAATGTGCCTCTGTGTGTGGGGGACGGAGGGAGCTGCAGCGACTGGGACACGCTTGGAGTTTATCTAAGCCATGTACACACAGTCGGCTCATTCATAAGGAGCATTCGGTCCCCAAAGCGGGCTCAGTGCTGAGAAAAACCAGATATAGGGCCAGCTGACCAAAGTGGCCGTGTTTCCCAATGCCTGCAGCCTGGACACTATCTCACTGTGTCACCAAAACCTTCCTGGCACTCCTCTTTTCATAGACACTTGCAACCTGAAAACTCCATACCCTTCTAGTTGGCTTCTTACGTGCTAAGTAAATTAAAAGCCACAGAAAGCAGGAGGATTTACAGACGGGGAGAGAGGAAAGGGATGAGGAGTATTGTGTTTGGACTTGGGCAGCCCAAGTTTCGGTAATCGTCAGTCCTTAAAACACACAGATGTGTGTGATCTTTTATGACCGGAGTCTCATCTGCTGCCAGTTTCAAAATGAGAATGTGGCAACCTGAAAAACAGACCCAAGGGACCCCCAAAGAGAACCTGCCCCCGCAGCTCACTAAAAGAGACAAAAGGAGTTGAGAAGATAAAGTTGGAAAGTCACAGAGTCGGCTGGAGGCCTCAGGAAGCAATCTAGCTTGGCTCAGAAATGCTCGGCAAGGAGGAGCCATGCTCCCGGCATCCACCAGCGCACGGGGGTCAAACAGCGAAGAGCATTCTGACCCACACGAGACGCACATTTGAACCCAAAGCCAGTCAACCCAGTGAATGATGGCATTAGGCTCAACTTTGCCCTTGGGAAGAAAAGGCAACATTCCTGTCAAAGTAGCGCTTTCTTCCAGGCATCAGAAAAACAGAAAACATTCACCCAAGTTGAGGAAAGAAGGGGAAAAAAAAGATGGCATGTAAATGCGTTCATGTATTCACTATAAACATGTCTTGGGGGCCGACCTCTGCCAGGCCCCTGCCATCTTGGCATGTAGAGCCCAGCAGGGCAGAGAGACACGAAACAAGCATCCGCAGGTGTGAGAAGAGATAAAGTAGAAGCAAACACAATGGCTAAACCTTGCCTACCAGGGTCAGGGAAGGAGTCCCAGGAGAATTACCGATTAAGCTGAGACTTGAATGTGTACAGGAATTAACAGGCAAAATGGCGAGGAAGGTCGCAGAAAGAGCGACCAGCATGGTGAAGGGTCCTAAATCTAGAGAGAGGGTGGTGTATTCATGGAACTAAAGTCAGTTATTATGGCTGGAGCTTACAGAGCAACGCAGAGAGAGGCTTCCATGGAAGGCTTGAGGCGTCGGTGGGGTCATACCATGTGGGGCCTTTTAGGCTTTATTAAGGATTTGGGAATTTGTCCCAAAGACAGTAAGAAGCCACTGCAGCCTTGTAAGTGGTGAAAAGTCATGCTCAGAGTTTTATTTAAAAACATTAAAATAGTTCGGGGAAGGGCAAGAATAGTCACTAGAGTGACAGATCACAGTAATTTGGTCTGGAATATTGCAAAGGCAAGCAGCAAAGTGGGCAGATTTGAGAGTTATTTAAGAGACGGAATCATCCTTTCATTTAACTATTGCCTGGAGTCCTACTACGTGCCTGGTCCTGGGCATACAGGACCAAGAAGAAAAACACACTCCCTGCCTGTACGGCACTGTACAGTATGGTAGAGGGGGCAGCCGCTCAATAAATCATTATTCAAATGACATTTGTGATAAATGCTAAGAAGAAGAAGTATGAGAAGCTGAGAGAACACAACCTGGAGGGCCAGAAGCAGAGCGTGATGACTGGACGACGTCAGGAGAGGCGACAGATACGTGGCCTGATGTCACCTGGGTGGACGATGGTGCCAATTCAGGATAGAGACCAGATTCTAGCCAGGATGGGGTGGGTAAGCTGACACGTTCCATTTCAGACAGGTTGGGTTAAGACCCCCAGGCAGAGCTGTTCAGGCAGTGGGTCAGGAGAGGAATGGGCTCAAGATACAGATATGGGAGTTGGCATCAGATCCCAGAGGAAGGCAAGGAAATGGATGCACTGACCCAGCGGGGGGCAGGGGGAGTGGTTGCGGGACTTGGAGTGACCAGAGCCAGCACTGTAATCAGTCGAGTGCAAAGACCATTCCTTGTTGAGCACTGCATTTGCCACGCCCAGCCCTGGACCTGACATCTCTTGAACGGCAATGAATATTTTGTTTCATGAAAGGATGAATTATGTAAAATCTCTAATATGTAACTTGAGCACTCGTAGATGCTCAGTTGAGATGCTGCATTTATATATCCTCTTGAAAGACAAAGGCATTCTGCAAATTCAAGCGGGTGCATTTCCTAGGTGATAGCACTTGAATCCCTCTGCCGCAGCACACCCTCTGCTGGTACTGGAATTAGAATGACAGATTTCATTCTCTCCTGGGTCCCCTGACTCTGGAAGCCAAGACACCAAGGGTAAATTAATAACCCGCCTTGCCTGGGTCTCCCAAACTCGTAAATTAACTGGGGTGCGGATGGCAGGCCTATGAACTGAGAGGGTCACTTGCAGATGTCGTGCCCTCTCTGGCTTCGACCAGCCAACTGCAGGCCTGCTGCCCTCGCTATGACACACTCGGCAGTGCTCATTAACCCCAGGCCCTGTGACGGCCCAGGAAGTGCCAGAGTACTCCCAGTCGCCTTAGCGATGGGCACCTGGAAGCCCGTGTGGGCTGGAGAACGAATCCGCAATAGCCGGCTCTGGACCGTCACACACGTTAAAGCAGGGAGCCACCTCCCCAGACCCACACACGGGCCCCGTCATGCTCTGAATGCTCCATGCAGAAGATGCTGTTCAAACTCTACCTCAGAAAAGTATTTCAGCCTCTGGCAGGACGAGGGAGGAGAATCGCCTTCCCCAGGCTGCCCGATCTGCCAGACTTAGAATAAAGAGCGTTTTCAGAGCCTGGAGTTTTCCAGCTGCCTGGAAACAGGAAGTGCCCAATCCCCAAGAACAGTAACCCTCACACACGCCCTACATAAAGACATGTTGAGCCATTAGCCCTAATTGCCTGTGACTGACACAGGAGTGAAGCCGGCCTTCCAGGCATTTGCTCAGCGGAAAGAAAACAAACAGCTCACAGGGGACTCGGGCGGCCATTTTCCCTCCTTTCCGCCAAAATGATTCCGCTCTGTTCCCCCCAGATTATAACAAACAGATTTGAAATTATAAACCAAACAAAGGTCTTTCGAGTATTCCTTACCACATGCGAAAGAGAAAAGAAATCTCCATAGACTTTTCACAGAATCAAAAACCTCCCAGAAAAACTTTTCAGAGCTGCCTCTCGAGACCGCTAATTCTCTCCAGGTTTGAGTTATTAAGAATTATTTGCAATAATTTTCAATTGTTCAGCATACTGAGTCATGAGTTATGCAGCGTGCCAACTGCTAGGGATATAATATATATGCGGTAAAAATCACATATGCCTTCAGATTTCAGGTTTTTGTTTCAACAATTGGGTTTTTGAAAGTGGCTTGAAAACAATACAGCACATTGTATATCAAGCAACAGGCCTTATGTCCTTCCTTCTCCTTCATGAATTATAATGGCTCAGAGGGCAAACGCACCGCCGGGCCAACATCAGCTAATCGCTGGTGACGGGAGCAATCGGCACTTGGGTTTCCCCGGCACCAAACAGCTACCCAGGGTGGATGGATGGTGGGGCTGGCCCTGGCCATGATCGGTGGTTGCTGAGATAGGATGCGTTTCCCAGTTCCAAAGCATGGTCTCCCTCTGCTGCTCCTTCACAACCACTTCAAAAGTACCACTCACCAGGTGTGACGCCCACCATCCAGTGAATGCTTCATGTTCACCATCTAAGTTGAGTCCCTCAGCTCCCTGGAGAGAGATGCATGATAATCTCCACCTTATGGAGCGGAAGTCCCTTGGCCAAGGTCATATGGAGGGTGGGGGTGTGGATTCAGACCCAGAGCTGTGTGATTCCCAGGTCCATCCTCTTAATCTCCACTCACTATGTAACCAAACTTGAACTTCTTTTTGGCTGACGAGGGCCATCTTCTTATCATTCAAGGTCTTTGCCATCAGATTTAATTCTGAACTAAAGGATGGCAAGAAAATTTGCAGCCCAGGTTAACATCTGCCCCAGCTATGGGAAGAACATACAGCAACATTGAGAGCCTAAAGCCCAAGTCCTCCACAGGCTGATAAGATAAAATTCAAGAGAGAAAAGCTGTTTCCTAGGCAAGATCTAGGCAAACACCTTCCAACGATTCAGGAAGGCAAAATGAGCTCCTTGTTCCCTAAGAGCCACACTCTTGGAGTCAAGCTGCTTATTTCAAGTCACAGTATAAGGTGGCATTGATTCCGCCCCAGGTGATTTAGATTCTTTTTAAGATTTATGTAGAACGAGCAGTACTTCCACACTTTCCTTGCTTCTGCGCTGCTGCGGCCTCCCGAGAGACCACTAGGTAATAAATAACCACGTTGTTTCTGCCCTGGTGAAGAAGCCTCGGTCTTTGGGGAGGAAAGAGCTGTTACGGGACAGAAGGCTACTCACCCAGCAGGCAGAGCGTCGGGGGCTTGGGCAGCCGCTGGGAGCTGCTGTGTGCCCGAAGTGCTGGGTTCCTCTCCTTCAGCCGGTGTGGCCGGAGCAGGGAGAGATGTCGTGTTGGGGTTCGGGGTCACACTCAAGGCTGTGGCAGATGGGGATGTCACGCCAACAACAGAAGTTTCTTCAGCATCGGTGGCTGCTGTGGGTTCATCATTCACTGAAGATGCACAAATCATACTTTAAAGTTCAACTAAGAATGAGAATCTTGTTTATACTTACGAGGCTTTTCATTTAATGTGCTAGCACAGTATCTACAATGATACCCTACCTGTATCGGGCAACAGCAAAAAGTTTTACAAACATAACTTCAGAAATTACAGCAAGTTAATAATGCCTGTCCAAAAAAATAAATCAGGGGATGAATCTGAAATAAATATATTCAATACTACCTCTTTTATATAACTTTATCAGATCTTTCTAACATGCTATGGTTACATTCATTGCAATAAAATAGCAGGAAAGAAGAACGTGACAGGAAAGTGTTGGTGTTAAATGGAGCAAGGCCAAGTTTATAGGGTCACACTCTTTTCTTTAAATTTACCACCTGTCTGCTATACACAAATAGCACCTTCCTTCAAAAACCTCCATATACCGTTAAGAGGCAGAAAACTTACAATAATGTGCTTGTTCTTTTAAAGACTCATGCTCGAAGTAGGAAGCAAGGATTAATACTCTAGATGAAAAAGAAGGAGCTCAAAAGCTAAGGGACTTGTCTCTGAGATAACAATAGGCAGACAGACAGAAGTGAAATACGCTAGTCCCCAAGTCTCCTTATTTCCCCATTTCCTCACTTCTTTGATGATCACTTATGGTCACAAGGACCCCAAGGCATTGCTATATCCTCTAACTCAAAAAAGGATCAAACAAGGTTTCGAAGGATTGTGATTCTTTGAAAATGTACAGGCCATATGCCGAGAATTTTCCACATATGTGATCGCATATGTGTACATTTACATTAGAATTTCATAGGAAAGCTCCTTAGTCACCATTTAGCCTCAGCTGCTTCTTAATTCAAAATTTCTTTTTGTAGTTTCCCTAACAAATGGCTATCCTGATTCTTCTTGAACACTTCTTCCGACAGGGAGCTCACTACAGAATCATCCCGCTGTTGAACAGATGAACTTGCCAGAAAGTTTCTTCTTATCCTAAGCCGAATTCCACAAGCTGGCCTGAGTCCTCCCACCGCTATCCCCAAAGCAATTCAAAGTAAGTATTTGGCCACTGTTTCTCATTAGTCTTCTCTTTTCCAGTAAAAAGGCCTACTATGTCTTAAATGTTTCTAGGCCACCCCTTTCCTTACCACCTGGCTGCCCTCTTCTAAGTATCTTCTTCTACTGCCTTGTCCTACGTGGTGATATCAGGACCTGAATGTAATAAATCAGATACCATCAGACCAGCAGGGTCAGATCAGCAATTTAAATGATACCAGTTGACATTTGCAGAACACTAGCACATGCCAGGCAAGGTGCAAAACACTTTGGATTATCTCATTTAAGCCTCACATAAACCTCTCAAGTTACATCTGACACCGCAAAGTACAACCGGTACCCGCCCCCCCATTTTACAGTTGAGGAAACCAAGGCTTGGAGAGGCTAAAAAACCTGCCAAGGTGTCATAGCACCTAATTCCCACCCTGCTGTCTGGCTCCAGAGCTTACACGCCTCACTCACTCTACTTCTCTCTCCCTGCACATCCTCTAATTCAACCCAACGTTATAAAAACTCTGAGTGATCACGTGATCCTATTGGCTCACAGGAGACTGGTGGTCTGCTGAAAGTAATATTGCTTCACAAGATGAGATGGATACCAAGCTTGATCTTAACAAATGGGCGCGAGCCTGAGGCTTGAAACTGCCTATGATTTATTCACTGGCTCTCTCCTCATTATGTGAAATGCTGTCTTGCATACAGGCTAAGTTAGTTGTTTAACAAATGACTAAATCTTGTGCAATTAATGTTTCCCCAACAGAAACGCATGCCTTTATATTTATACTCCCATGCGATCTCAGCTGAGCTAGTAAAACGCAACAGATGGTGATTCTTTCTATTCAAATCTATAAATTTTTACTCAATTCCAATTTTTTGAAAATATGACTTTTTTGCAGAGCTAGATGGATTTATTATAAAAATTTATAAGGATGACAGAAATATGCAAGAATAGCCATGAAAATTCTAAAGAAGAGTGTTATATGTACATATAGGAGGAATTTGTTCTCTAAAGTATTAAAACATACTGTAAAGCTACAACAATTAAACCAATGTGGTACTGATGCACGAAGGTGCCAGATAAACAAGAAAGTTCAGAAGTAGACTTAAACAATTAAATAATTCATTTGGAGGCTATGAAATCATTAATATCCTAGTTCTATCATGCCCTCCTCACTTATTAGCTGGAATACTTCCATCAAGAGAAACTTCCTCTTACCAACCATTTGGCTACCTTGAGATTCAGTCTAGGAAGGAAATGCTTGATTCTTTCCCTTTGCCACTTTCCAGAATAACAAGTTAATTTCCTTGTATCCTCTAAAAATAAATAAAGTTGTTTTTTTTTTTTGGTTTAAAAATTCTTATGAGGTACTGGATTTAAACATACTTAAAATATTTCAATCCACTGAGATAATGTTCTTATTGATACTAAAATGGTCCCCATCCTTAGCTAGACTTAGTTGGGGGAGGTGAGGGGCACAGAGCTCTTTAAGTGGGCTTCAAGCACCATGGAAAACTTCTAAGATAATTATTAAATGGGAAAATGCAGAACAATGTACATAATGTGCTATCATTTGTGTTTATGTGTGTGTGTGTCTGTATATGTACACACATGTGTTTTCAAAGAATATATACACATACACTCGTAAATTAAAAAAATATCTTTGTAAGAATCACAAGAAAGACAACAGTAGCTGCCTCTAGGGAAGAACTGGAAGGCTGGCAGAATAGGAAAAAGGCATTCTTTATACTGTTTAACCTTTTATACATTTAAAAGTTTTAATAACATACATGAACTTTCATTTAAAATAATTACCATGAAATTGCTGACCAGGAAAAGAACAAAAGCAGAACTCTATGGCGCGCCAATGGAGAAGACCCTCCCACGAACACCATTTGGATCTGATTGTTCATGCAGCTGCAGATCCAGTTAGAAGGGTTCCCACCAGGACTGCAGATGTCCACGGGGCTATCCAGGAGCCTCTGACTAACCAGAGTAGCTCAGCCATTTAAGAGTTTGTGCTGCACCTGGAGTTCAGATTTGGAAACAGAGAAATACGAAAGCCAGACGTCCTAGCATTGACAAGCTTTCTGTGTCCATGCTTATACTCTTCTGCTTTCAAAGAGTGTGTGTACGTCTGTGTGTGTGTACATGATCACGAGAGCTTGGAAGAACCTCAGAGGGAAATCCACCCCATCACAGCTTATAGTTACATGGAATTAAGTTACAATAACTAGTTGCTGGCCCATGGTCACCCTGGTAAACCAGTGACAGGGCACCATACTCAAGGCTTCACATAGAGAGAAAAACTGGATTGTCAAAGACAAGGAGTTACAATTTCATCATGCCTTAGAGAATTGCTGTTATTTTACATTTTAAATTTATTCAATATAGCCAACGTCCTCTAACTTTTAATCCTAGTTACTTGATATATACACCTTATCTCCCCCCAAACACTGCATCCTTCTTGAGAGCAAGAGCAATTTGTTTTCCTTACTGTTCACTACTTCCACTCTGCAACTCCTATGTTCTTTTTTTTTTTTTTTGAGACAGAGTCTCACTGTGTTGCCCAGGCTAGAGTGCCATGGCGTCAGCTTAGCTCACAGCAATCTCAAACTCCTGGGCTCAAGCGATCCTCCTGTCTCAGCCTCCCGAGTAGCTGGGACTACAGGCATGTGCCACCATGCCCGGCTAAT